CACACACAAACAGACACACACACACACACACACAGTTTAGAAACCTACAGCAACAGGGATCATTTCTCTCTCTCATGGCATGTCAAATACAGCTCTGCTCCTCATCCTCCTTAATTTCAGAAATAAAGCTTAGAGTGTATAATCTACACTTAGGAAATACAACCATCCCAATTTCCCTAGGACTGAGTAATTTAGTAGACACAAGACTTTTAGCTTTTAAAAAAGGAAAGTCCCTGGCAAACAGTTAAGTTGATCACCTTAAATTCACCATACCATAATAAGTGAAATTATTTAAATGAAGATAATCCTACTTCTATTTCAGAGGTAAAGTTTGAAATGTATAAATTTCGCGATACATTCCCAGACTACAGAAAATTTTCTGTTAAATATTTTTCACCTAATCCACGAATTAAACTGAAGATAGTATTTAAAATAAGGATGATTTTAAAGCATCAATTTCAAATATTAATTGAAATAAATTAAAAAATCAAACTAAGTGAACACTTCCATGTAAAATAACTTCTTTTTAATCTCTTTGGTTCTAAATAAGATTGATGAGAAAAGTTAATATTACCATATTACCTGAGGTCGCTGTGAAACTTAAGATATCTTAACAACAGAGAAGGCCATCATTCTATGGAAAATTAACTTCATTCTGAAAGAGAGGTCACATTAAAATAACTGAATTCCACAAAGACTCCTATCTGGTCACACAAATAACGTTTGCCTCACTTAATTGTCTTTTTATTTAAGTTTACAAAAACTAAAAAAAAAAAATAGTGTTTTAGCAGGCAACGAGCATTTCACTATGGATTTGAAATAATTTCTTTTATTAGCAGCATTTTTGAAATTCATAATCAAAAAAAGGAAGTTGATTTACTTAAAAATCATCTTACTTGTATAACATAGAACTTAAGAAAATACTTTGTAGACCCCTGGTCAATATAGTAAATATTTTTTCATAACAATATTACCAAAGTATTGTCATTTGTTTAATATTCTCCACCATACAACAGTTGTCCCTTAGGAATATCAACTGGAAATCTGGTTCATCCAGTAAACCAAAATGGATCTACCAGTATAAAATTAATCAATAAAAACAGCTGTGGTATATTTTAATGTTTCCCCTTTTCCCTTGGCTTCTAGAAAGGTCAGAGCAGTTTAAAGACAAACATTTAGTTTATTCACTCAATAGATGGCATCACTTGAAGCTTAAGAAGCTGCACATGCGTATTATAGACAATGGACAAGAACAAATTAAGAGGGCAAAGGCCAGGAATGTATTTCACATAGCAAGCCAAAAAAACACTTGAAGACTAAAAACAAAGCAACACTAGTTACCACTAACCTTAAGAAGATAAATATTATGCATGATTTAGAAGTTAAGAAAGTGAATAAAGCTTTTGTAAATATACAAAAAGAACTTGTACACTGCTCAAAGGGCCTTTCTCTCGAACCTCTGCAGAAATGATGAGCCTCTCAGCAACATGATGAAAGTGAACAAAGTTAATACTGATGAAGCTTCAAGATTAATGGCTCAGTTGTAATACAGCAGTGATGCATCTAATTCCTCCAAAAGACTGTTAAGTTAAATGTTTTACACAAAAAGTGCCTCCACTCTTCCTTCTCACCATCATACTTTACTTATATTAACTTGCTTTAAAAGTTATATTCTATATCTATTTTCATGTTGGTGCTGTGAAATGTGTGTGTGTGTGTGTGTGTGTGTGTGTGTATCTGCATCCTCACATGAACACACAAGGTATAAATGAGAGGTCGAAATCAGAGATAGACCTATATGACAATATTCCTCACCTCTACATATGGCTTAAATAAATTACTCTTTTAAATTAACTGCTCTTAACATTAAGGTTGTTATGTTAGAGGATAATGTCCTGGTGTTGCAATAATTTTTAAAAGGTATTAAGAGCTGCAATCACAAATAACTCCCTCTAAATCCAAACTTTATCTAAAGTTATAATATCTTCATAGTGTCCTTATTCAGTATAGAAGGGTATAAGGACAGATAAGTTGTTCAGACACACCTTGAAATATATTCTCGGGACTTTGTTTTTTCATTAAGCAAAGTCAGAAGTCAAATGTGGTCTTCAGGTTAAAGTAGTAGGAAGAATACCACAGCACCCCTGTGAGCAGGGATTCATATTATTTTTGTTGTTTTTCCTGGCATCTGTCATTGCTCCTTAACGGCCCTTCTCTCTCAAGGTTATTACAGAATATTTAATGTCTCATTTTTTAATGATTCCTTAACTCCTGAGTGGCAGAAACAGGGATTCATATCTTTGATCCTGCTTCTTCTGGTATTCTTAGTTTAAAAAACAAACAAACAAGAACAAAAGCAATTTCAGACAAAACATAACAACTTAGACAGGGCTTAATTCAAATTTAGTTTTTGTTGTTGCTGTTTGTTAATTTTTTTGCCATAGAAGACATGATTTTATTCCTTGTTATTGCTAAACAGTATTCCATTGTGTGTATGTATATGTATGTGTGTGTGTGTATAAATAATTTTCTTTATCCAGTCATCAATTGGTGGACACTTAGGTTGATTCCACATTTTTGTTATCATGAATAATGAATCAATAAACATACTTGTGCTAGTATCTTTTTTATATAATGATTTCTTTTCCTTTGGGTAGATATCCAGCAGTGCGATTGCTGGTTCAAATCACAGTTCTGTTTTTGAACTGTGATCTGAAAAATTTCCATACTGTTTTCCATAGCGGTTGTACTAATTTACATTCCCATCAACAGTGCATGAGCATTCCATTTCTCTACATCTTCACCAACATCAATTTTTTTTTTTGACTTTTTAATAATGACCATTCTGATTGGTATAAGATGATGCCCCATTGTGGTTTTAATTTGCATGTCTCTGATGATTGGTGATGTTGAGCATTTTTTCAAACGTCGGCTGGCTATTTGTATGTCTTTTTTGAAAAATGCCTATTCATGTTGTTTGTCCACTTTTTAATTGGGTTATTTGGTTGTATTTTGAAGTTGTTGAGTTGCTTGAATTCCTTGTAAATTCTGGATTTTAGTCTGCTGTTAGATGCATACTTTGCAAATATTTTCTCCCAATCTGAAGGTTGTCTGTTCACTTTATTGATTATTTATTTTGCTGTGCAGAAGCATTTCAGGTTAATCAAGTCCTATTTGTTTATTTTTGTTTTAGTTTCTTTTACTCTGAGATCTCAATCATGAGTTGTCTTCCTAGGCCAATGTCCAGAAGAGGATATTCTTAAATTATTTCTTAATTTTTATTTCAATACTCTTTGGGGTACAGGTGGCTTTTAGTTACATTAATAAGTTCTTTAGTGGTGATTTATTTGTTTTGGTAGACCAGTCACCCAAGCAGTGTACACTGTACTCAATATGCAGGGGACTCAGAGGGAAGGGTGAGAGGGGGATGAGAGATAAAACTGTCTACTGTTTTGTTAAGGTTTAAGTGAAGAAATGACTCTATAGGATCCTATCAATATGAATAATGTACTATTCTGCTAAGTTTATTTTGTACAGCCATATATTCAGAATTCATTAGGCCTTCATATTTTCTATCATAATGAGGACCCGAATCCAATAAAGGCAATCTCCACTGACAGTGAAGATTGGTTAATGCCATTTGTAGAGTTCAACATTTGATGTCTCAGTATAAAAGTCATGGGTTAAAGCTTTTGATCAGCTCACAGCTTGGAAATATATCATACAATTGTATTATTTTGGTAGTCATTTAATATTACTAAATGATAATTATTTTTTTAATTATTACTTTTTTTTTTTTTTTTTTTGAGACAAAGTCTTATTCTGTAGCCCAGGCTGGAGTGAAGTGGTGTGATCTCAGCTCAATGCAATGTCTGCCTCCCAGGTTCAAGCGATTATCCTGCCTCAGACTTCAGAGCAGGTGGGATTATAGGCACGTGCCACTGCACCTGGCTAATTTTTTGTATTTTTAGTAGAGACAGGGTTTCAGCATGTTGGCCAGGATGGTCTTGAACTCCTGACCTCAGGTAATCCACCTGCCTCAGCCTCCCAAAGTGCTAGGATTACAGGGATGAGGCACCGTGCCTGGCTTTTTTTTTTTTTTTTTTTTTTAACCTCACCTTTAGTGTTGACTCATACTTTAGGGTTGTTGTGCAATTAGGAAATTGTGATTGCAAATCCAGGTAGACCACCATGACTTGAAACAGAACAATGCTTACTTAGTGTAGTAATTTCATTAATGGAACTGTTAGATTCCTTGTACTGCATGTCTCAGCTGTGCTTTTCTCTACCTAATTCAAAGGAGATTTGTTAATCAAAAATGTGGAGAAGTAGAAATAATTGAGGGGTATGCTCTAAAGAGAATGCATAGCCCTAGTTTGTCTCTAGGGCTCAGATTTCATGCTGGTTGATATCTTCCTAATACCTAAGTAGTGTAACATGTACTAAAACTTAGTGATGACCTCAATGTGACCTAAAATGGTTTGCATTTAGTTAGTTCAGCTGTGGATATAACTATATATGATTTTTGTATTTGAAGATGCTGGAGATTACATAAACAAATCATATTATTATCTTAAACTATTTTCAAATGATAGCAAAAGTCTAATTTGAACACTACCATGACATTTTATTGTGCTAATTCTACTGTTATAAGTGTTTTAAATGGTGTATCTCTTGATTTATATCATAGGTATTTTTAATTTGTGAGGGGAAAGATGTATTATAGCCCATCAAACAGAAGATTAGGGACTGTTGTATACTGAGAGTGAGTCAAAGCTAAAAGATTATCATATAGGCTTTTGAACAGGAATGACAAAAGATGGTACAGAGAGAAAAGATAAAGAAATAGAATAAATAAAGAGAAGTATAAAAAGTGTGTCACATAAAGCTTTCTATAATCACTGGTTTTGAAAATTAGCTGTTTATGTTTTATATATATATATATATATATATATATTTCAAAAAGGTATTTACCATTTTTCCTTGTTTCCTTTTTGTAGTATGTATGCATTCCAGGGTGCACAAAAAATCCATTTTGGTTTTTGAAGAATGTTCACCTGATTCATCTACACCCCTGCTACTATGGAATCACCTTCCATGGTATTTGCCAAGATAAAGGTCCTGTTCATTTTGAATATGTGTGGCAATTGGGATTTACAGGTAACAAATTTATGTAATTTTTTTTTAAATCTGCTTGAATTATTTCAAAATTTACTAGTCAAGTATTCACTTTCTAAACACACAAAGTATTTTATATCTCAAAACACAATATAAAGTAAAAATAAAATAAATACTCTTATTTTCCGATGTATTCCTTTAACTGACGTGTTTAACACCAACTATATCCTAGGAAATCTACTTGGTGCAAGATCTATAATAGTGAAGTAAACTAGAGCTATTTCCTACTTTCATAAATCCATTTGTTGGAAGGGAGTGGTTAGTGGACAAATACAGTGATAACTATGTAATTTTATTTAAAATCAAAATGCTCTTATGAAAACAAGTAGCATTCCATGAATGCTTATAAGCAATAAGTCTGTTTAGAATATATCCACTAACCAAAAAAAAAACCTGGGCAATTGAGAGATTGAGTTGCGTTGTCAGAAAAGGTTTCCCTAAGAAAATGACCCCTGAAGAGAGATATAGAGAATAATGTCATGGCAGAGAAGCTGGAAAAGAGAGGATTCTAGGTTGAGGGAATTGTATTTGTAAAGACATTATATTAGAAGAAGTGGCGTCTTTGAAGCCCTGTCTGGGGCTGTGAGTAAAGACTAATAACAATTCCATGGAGGGGATAAAGCCAAACTAAAATGCTGGGTTAAATATTTTTATTTCTATCTAAAAGGAATAGAAAATTACTATAGCTTTTGACGCATTCGATAATTTTATAGCAAGTAGAGAAATACATGGAAGAGAAGAAAAAAAGCTAGGGCATTGGTTGGAGTAATAATGTGAGTCATAATGCTGGAAGCTTGAAATAAATGGAAGATCTTGTTTATGAATTGGAAATAGCAAGTGTGAAGGTGTCAACAGGACGCCTAGTTTTCTGTCTTACATACTTGAAATGAAATCATTTCAATACTTATATTCACATGTATGTTTTTGTTTTATAGAATTTCAATTTCTATCTCAATTTTTTTGATGAACATAATTTTCATTCTTTGATTACATGTTTAATAGTATTTAACTTAGATGATGCAAATTAGATTTACATTCTTAAGACTATATGATATTTTCATTCTTTTAAAGAATATTTCCTCTGACAATGATATTTTGGCACTTCAATTTACAAACAACCAGCAAATTAATAGTTTGATATTTCGAGTAACAGCTAACCGACAGCAGCTGAATTTCTAACATTGCATTACATCACAACAGTGTTGAAGTAAACTAACAATTAGCCTTTTAAACAGAAAACACGATTATTTGTTTCACCATGCTCATAAAATAGTACACTGTAGCGTTAACAACCTTTAGTGACAGAAATAGTTATCAGTTCATTAATCAGATCACACTGAAGACCAAAAGTGGTAGAAGAGAGCAAAGCATTGTTGATAATACTATGTTGATGGTAAAAGGAACTTTCAGAGACTCTGTTATGAATACTTACTATTTTATAAATGACACAATCAGACAAAACAAAGAAATAAGAATAGTTGAGGTTAGAGGAATTAACTTCAGGACTATTTAGGGACTGTGTCAGTTCAGTTGTTTTTAAACTCTGACCACATATTAGAATCATCTGAGAGCTTTTGAAACATACTAATGGTGAACTCCCACTACAGAACAATCAAATTAGAATTGTAGTGAGATGGACACAGAGTATTTTTTGAGGATCCCTAAATGCTTTTCATGTGCACATTGAGAAATGCTATCTACTGTTACAACCAAATTTGTTCACATACTTCAGTGCCTGCACCATTTTTGAACTTGATTTTCCTTTGTCTCATAGTAGGAATAATGCTTTCATCTGTTTGGTTATTTTTAAATATTAAACTTCTTTTGAGAACAAAAAATTGCGACAGAGAACATATTCACAATGATGAAATAGCAAAAGTATTTTTGAGGGAAAATGGAATGAATAATAGCAAGTCAAATTACTCATGGATAAATCAGCTTTGAGCAAATATAGTCAACTTTATTAATGGCAGTACAATAACAAATGTATGTTTTAGAAAATGAGTGGTGTAATACAAAGTTAAAATTACTCATGGATAGCTTAGCAAAAAGCAATTATCTTCAAAACAATGTATGCATATTTCATCATTATTTCTTCCTTAATTACGGGACAGAACTTACTGAATATAGCTAATTATAACAAAAATAAAAATTTTGCGACCCCTACATGTGAGAATCTAAATGAGTTGGGCTGTCCAGTGGAAAAGAAGCAGTGTGATAATGCACAGGCTGAATGAATGTTTAAGTAAAACACTTAAACTTATTTTGAATTTCAATATGAAGATTCAGCAGTGAAACTTCTCAAGTTTTCAAAACAAAATAGAAGTTAAAATAAATGAAAATAAATATGTAAATAGAATTATACATTTTATGTATTGCAAAATTCCATCTTGTTTATTTTGGTAATTGCCATTAAGATCTTCTTTTACATTTTTCCTCATAAAATATAAAATGTAATTGAAGAGGAACTTTAAAATTATGCTGGTGAGTTTGCATGGGGTGCATTAATTTTACCAGCAGGAAAATTATTTTAATTAAGGGATTTCTCTAACAACTAAACGAAGTGTCTTACACGCCCAATCAATTCTTGCCAATATGATTGCTCTACAGAGAAGGGATGGTAATTAATTAGAAGAAGACCCTTCAAGGACAATTGGTTGACAGTGCACATCTTGAGAAAGAGCTGACATGCACTGTTTCTTTTCGAAATCATCATCTATGTTCATTATGTGTATTATTAGGTTTGAGGAAAGGAGCTACTGACAGAGTGGATAAAGAGTTGTGAAGTGAAGTAAGACAATATGAATAATGCTTAAGAAAAGATACAATTCTAGCTAAAAAAAAGAAAATAAGACAGAAATTCTTTTAATTCTCTTTCTTCTTGAAACATGTCATTATTTCAGTGTGCTTATCTAAGATAAACATACAGAGTTAAAACACTTAACATGCACTAGTAAACTTTTTTCTAAACAAATAGTAATTGTTGCATTTGCAAGTTGATATTGCAAAAAAAATTTACTTTGAAAGTTTTATATTTCCCTTACAAAATAATAGATCTTCTTGTAGAAGACCTTCCAGTATGTTAATTATAATCTATGCATTATACATTACTTTTTAAATTTTAAGCAATTTTTGTGAAAATAAGAAGTGCTATACCAACAAAGCAATCCTTATCAAAATCCATTTTTTCTTTGTATATTGTTCTACCTTCAAGTCTTCTTTTGTCAAATGTCTGCTATTTATATATATATTAAGTATTTTAGGGACTTTAGTTTTAATTTTTGGTTTTAATCTTTAATTGAAGATTTTTTAAAAAGCTGAGTATTAAAAAAAGTGGTTTAGTGCTTTTCATTCATATCACTTATAGAAAGTTTTTAAAGCATTTTTACATGCTTTGAAAGAGAATTCTCTTAATTAAATCATTAATTAGAAATAAGTAACTTTCATAAACAGAACAAAGCTAATTAAATAATAAGGAAGAAAATATTTCTTACAAACAAGAATTAAAATATTTAAATGCATAGGACTAAAATTAACAAAAACTTGCAACCTCTACATGGAGAAAACTTTTGATATTGCTGTAGTATAGGTGCATGCATACATAATCTGAAAGAAAATCCTAAAGATATATTATGCTGTAGCTACTATTATTCTTAATAGTTTTTTCTTTTAACCTTCATACTAATTATATTAGTAATATACACACTACCATGCAGTATTTGAATATTCTGAATTTTACAATGTGTTTACTTTTGCCAGTGAGTTTTATAATTTCAAAAGTGTTCTTACCACAAACATGATAACTATATGAGGTAATGCATATGTTAATTAGCTAGATTTGATCATTCTGCAATGTATATATACTTCAAAATATCATGTTGTATATGGTAAATACATACAATTTCATCTGTAAATTTAAAATAATAATAACCTTCCCCCTAAAAAACTTTTATTATACTGGAGATACAACTTTTAAAGATTTCAACTTTTCATATTATGTTATAGGTTTATTGAGATTTTAACAAAAAAATGATGTTATCTTTGTTTCCTATGAAATTGACATCTTATTTCTTAATGTTCACGTGGAAATAAAGACGAATAAAGTCAAGTGTACTCTGCAAAAGCACATCGTGTGGACAAGTGGGGTATAGAATGAGGTCTGCCATGTATTAAAGTAGATTACATAGCTTCATTAATGAAAAGCATCGCACCACTGCATTGGTAGTCAAATATGACAAAATACAAAGTCTCAAAATGAATCCAAGACATTAAAAAAGATATAACATATAATAAAACTGCCCCCTCAGATTATTAGAATAAGTAGGCACTATTTAATAATTAACATGGAACAAATGAATAGCCATCTGAAAAAAAAAAAATCAACTTGTATATACCTTTAAACATTCTCTGGATTACACTGAAATAGATGAAAGTTTTAATATATAAAACAGAAAGTATAAAAATATTAGAGAATGTTGGAGAAATGCTTTGTAAATCTGGATGGGGGAAGAATGAAACTAAATCCATATCTCCCATGGTACACAAAAAGCAAATCGAAATGGATTAAAGACTTACATCTAAGACCTCAAACTATGAAACTACTAAAAGAAAACATTGGGGAAACTCTCCAGCATATTGGACTAGGCAAAGATTTCTTGAGTAAAACCCCAGAAGCACCAGTAATCAAACCAAAAATAGACAAATGAGCTCACGCCAAGTTAAAATGCTTCTGTAGAGGAAAGGAAACAATCAACAAAGACGAAACTCACAGAAAGGGAGATCATATTTGCAGACTATCTATCTGACAAGGGATTAATAATGAGGATACAAAAGGAGCTCAAATAACTTTACAGGAATAAAATAATAATATGAATTTTAGAAATGGGAAAAAGATCTAAATAGATGTTTCTCAAAAGAAGACATGCGAATAACAAACAGGCATATGAAAATGTGCTCAATATTATTGATCATCAGAGAAATGC